CCACGACCCAGCAAAACAGGATGAGTCACTATGCAAACCAGTATGGCCAGACACCCCCCATGGAGAGGAACAAAGGAAGGTGGAATGCTGGCTGGGGGGCAGGGCTGGAAGAGGTAGAGTTAGTTCCTGTCTGGAAAGCAGGGGAGAAGGAGCTGGGGAGGGGGGCTGGGAACCCCCCATCTCAAGGGGAGCACTGAGGCCTCTTAGCCCCAGTTCCTGTAACCAGATTACATCTGTGCTATGCTGTATCCTGGAGGAGCAATAAACCACCCTCAATTCCACTGGCTGGTGGAGTCCGTTGTGCCATTTCGGGGTGCAGGAGACGGGGGACCCCCAACGCGCCGTCACACATGGGCACACATTTAAAATGTATTTTGGTTTAATTATGATAACGCTTTTCTGTTATGGTACAGGGAAGTTGTGGTTGCTAAAGGTTGTGTTTCTAAACAGCTAGAAGTGTCATTGGTACCACAAGTCAAATGACATTGAAAAGTTTTGTAAAAATTATGTTACTAACATGTGCGAAAGCAGACTAGTCAGAGGGGGAAAGCATTGTACTTTCTCCTCGAAGATTTGGAGCAGCAGACTAGTCAGAGGGGGAAAGCATTGCACTTTCTTCTAGAAGATTTGGAGTATCTCTTTTGGGAATAAAGCATCACATTTGGTACAAAATATTAGTACTGCACCTTAAGTGAAGATGAATGTCTATAGAACTATTGCCAAGTGTAACTCGTATTATAAAAGACTTGATGCATATTTCATTGCAAACACACAAAGTTATCTCTGTATAAAGTTGGGTTGCTGAAAACAAGACACATGTAAAACAAAATGACGAATCTAAACTGTTTAAGGTTCCATCCCATTCCACAGAGCAATGACGCGGAAGAATATTTCATCCCAAAGACAACAGAAGATCTCAGTATACCGTAAAAGAACCCCTCCCCCAGTATCAATAAAAAGAAAATAATAAAAAAAGAATGGTCAAACATACCGCACTCTACAGTATCTGGATAATTAAGTTGGTAATCAGCTAAAAAGTGCGGTCAGTTAATTTGAAACGTGACTACTCTATAACAGAAACCGTTATGGCAATATGGTTGCTGTAGTGTTTCATTGATGATTTACATGTTTACAATGGGCATAACTGCTAAAATGTGTAGCCAACAGCTGGGTAAAAATCAACAAATGAAGGGCAGCAAAAACCAGGAAGACATGGAAAAGACAATTGTGTTCAATGTCTGGTACCAATGTTGCCCCTTGACAGCAATATTTGATAAATTAGTGACGGTCCAATTCTAAAGGCAGCATCCCCCAGAAACAAGAAGATGTCTGTCATCTATTAGTGTATCACAAAGCACAACAACCAATGGAACAGAGAAACTAGTGTTCTTGTTCCCAGCTAAGGGGGGAGGGGCTGTCCAGGGTCTTGCACCCAGTGCAGCATGTCAGAGTAGCTGCCATGCGGGGAGGTGGCATGTGGCTGCTTTGGGTGCACGGAGCCCGTAGAGATTCTGCTGTGGACACCAGAGGTACATGTAGACAAAGGCGCTATTTTGGGATACTTCCAGTATCTCGAAATAGCATTTTCCACATCTTGCCAGCATGCCCCTTATTTCAAAATAGCTTTTGAAATATCGGGCACGCTATTCCGACACCCGGCAAACCTCGTTCTTCCTCCTTAGTTTGAAATTAACTCGGAATAAGCTATGCAATTTTCATAGCTCAAATTGTGTAGCTTACTTCGAGCTAACGGTGCAGTGTAGATGCACCCAACACCTGGAGGGCTCCCTGCTTACCCCAGGGCCAGAACTGCCCCCCCCCATCTCCCCTCTGCGGGGATGGGGATGTTCCGTAGCAGGAGAGTGAGTCTGGTCCAGGGTCCCACCCGACAGGCTGCTCACACCAGGGAGGTTTGCTGGGGTCTCTGGTTCTGTCCCCAAACACAGTCCAGTCCTGGCTGCCCCTCTAGTTCTCACTGATTTTCTCTTCTGTGTTAGCTGCTAGAAACAGAATAGAAGCTCCAGGGGACGGTGCATGATGCCAGCCGACAATCACAGCGTTTTTACCCAGAAATCTTCATCCTGACCGGATTCCCAGGTACGGAGGAGTCTCAGGTCTGGCTCGCCATCCCCTTCTGTCTGATGTACGTTGCGGCGCTTCTGGGGAACTCTCTGCTCCTGTTCATCATAGCGACAGAACGAAGTCTCCATGAGCCCATGTACCTTTTCCTCTCCATGCTGGCCACTGCTGATCTGCTGTTGTCCACCAGCTCAGTGCCCAAGATGCTGGCCGTGTTCTGGTCCAGGGCAGGGGAAATTTCTTTTGCTGCCTGCCTCACCCAGATATTCTTCATCTATGTTAGTTTCACCTCTGAGTCGGGCATCCTGCTGGCCATGGCGTTTGATCGGTACGTTGCCATCTGCAACCCCCTGAGATACACCACCCTGCTCACCAAGCCTGTGATCGGGAAGATCGGGCTGGCGGTTCTCACAAGGAGCGTCAGTGCCTTTTTACCTCACTTCGTTCTCCTGAAACGCCTGAAGTTCTGCAGAACCAACGTCCTGCCTCACAACTACTGCCAGGAATGGGCCGTCGCTCAGCTGGCCTGCAATGACGTCACAGCCAACCTGTGGTACGGCAGAGTCATGGCGATTTTAGCATTTGGCTTGGACGCCGTGCTCATCGCTGCGTCTTACGTGCTGATCCTCAGGGCCGTCTTCCAGCTCCCATCCAGGGGCCCCCGGCTCAAAGCCCTGCGCACCTGCGGCTCCCACGTCTCTGTCATCCTGATGTTCTACATGTCGTCTTTTTTCTCCTATTTTGCATACCAATTTGGGCGCATCGTCCCTGGTACTATTCTCAACCTACTGGCCAACAGCCATGTGCTCCTTCCCCCCATGTTAAACCCCATCATTTATGGGGTGACATCAAAAGAGATCCTGAAACGGGTGAGCCATTTGTTTTATCGCAGCTACAGACGAAGCTCCCTGCAGGGTTAAGGGTAGCAGCAGAAAATACCCTCAGATACGGCAATTAACGCTGGGTTTTCATCAGAACTGTCGGGCTGTTGTCATTATGAACCTGCCCTGAGTTAGCTTGAATATTTGACTCACTTGCAAACATATATGGGTGCAATAAAAGATATTTCCTTCTCCACTCTCTCTAGTTATATCCTGGGACAAAACCACTGCACATTTCCACAATAGGCTGCCAAACCGCATGCGTCTTGTCCTGAGTTGAAAGGAAAAAACAAAGGAATAAGGAACAAAGGCAAAACCACCCTGAGGGAGAGCACAGTGTGTGCATCTCACCTGTGACAAGCTGCATCTGAGATGGAACGTAAATGACAACAAAAAACAACAACCAAGGGAGCCATGACTTGGGCCAGGGGGGATATGCCCTTCAGTGCAGGTTGGGGAGAGCGGGTGTCTACTCTTCGCTCTGCCACTGACTTGCTGTGTCCCCTTGGGTGAGTTCCTTTTCTTCCCAATTTACTCCATTGCAAAGTGAGTTTAATTTGGAGCCAGAATGGAGGCCAGGAACATGTGTCCTCGAGGAACAGTGGCCCCACATCCCAGTAGAACAGGAGTGGGTTCACAGTGCTTGACCTGGAGACCCACCTTAAGAGGACGTAGCTGAGGCAGCACAAACCTTCCCCACACACTCCACAGCAAACCCAGAGGGTCACCGAGTTTAAGGCCAGACACTGGAACGTCACCCCCTCCCCCTGTGCTGAGCCCAGTCCCTGTGTGTGGCCAAAGCACCCGTCACCGAGCTGTGGAAACTCCTAAATCCTTCCAGTGCCTGGCCGGGCTCAGCCCCCCGCTCCGTAGCCCTGGCCTGTGGCTCTTGGATGCTGCAGTGGCTGCCTTAGGGCTCCTGTGGCAGGGCTGGGCCCGGCTGAGCCTGGCTGCTCTCGCTCTCTGCCCCACACAGGTAGCTCCCTGGCAGTGCCGGGGTGGGGGAGAGTTCAGGGGGGCTGTGGCCTGGGGCGGCGGGGGAAGGGCCCACTGGCCCGTGCTCTCGGCTCCCCCCGACCGTGGGGGAGGGAGAGGAGCAGCGGCTCTGGGAGAGC